GAGCTATTTTAATCTGGCGAGAGACATCTTTCAACAGAGGCCAACTGAGGTATAGCTTTAGAAAAAAGGCAGCCGATGCTAGCTGACATCCAGCCTTTCGGTTCTGCCCTTCTCGTTCTGTCAGCCCAACCGCTTCAGTCTGCAGTCCTAAAATTGCTTGCCCTCGAATCGTCTCTTCCAACCAAATTTTAGGACCCGTGGACTGCAATTCCTAGAATTCCCCAGCTCGCATGCTATTCAGCTGTAAGATGTGTGGACTTCAACTCCCAGAATTCCCCAGGCATCATGCTATGAAGGTTTAGCTCCCATAATTCCACAGCCAGGATGCTATGGAACTTTATGATTTGTGGGCCTCTAATGACCAGGTGTGATGACCCAAGGGCATGGCACAAAAGCAACACAGTCAAATAAGCAAGAAAAATCCCGTTAGTACTTCCAATTTTGCCCCCAATGTCCAGATTATCTTCAGCTGGAGAAAAACTCTCCCTTTGACTGTAGAAAATTCAGTCCAAAACAAGGCACACACAAACTGTAACTTAAAATCCAAACAAATCAAACTGAAGTAATTAGCTTGACAGGGCAGGAGAAGGAATTTCAGACTTGAAAGCACAGCAAAATTCACACAGTTGGAAAGACGCCAGGAACCCAGATAAGCCTCGATGATACCAGATAAATTCATGTTTGCTCCCAACAGCTTGCTGCGTGCAGCTTCCTTTTTTTATACACTGTGTTCCCAGCTGCAGCTAATGAAGGGAATCAGGGCCTTTTCCTTCCCCGTAAGCCATGCAACTCACATTGCTCTCTTCTCCGTTCCTCCCTGGGTGCCCTAGGATGAAGAGGGGGTGGGCCTGGTCTTCCTCCAAATTCCCTCTCCCTTGTTCTACCTCTCCCCTGCTCTGCCCAGCTGGACTTTGCCCTTCCCCAGTTTCTTCTACAGCCAACGGAGCCACACTCCCTCTCCCTGTCAGCTGCTCGGCTTCCTCCTCCGAGTCAGATTCCGGCAGGGGCATGACACCAGGTTACTAACTTATCAACTGCAGTGATTCACTTAACTTTGGCAAGTAGGGACAAAATTCACTGAACAAATCTCTCACTTAGCAACAGAAATGTTGGGCTCCGTTGTGGTCATAACTGGAGAACTACCTGTACTGGTCACCTGGAGGAAACCCAGTACACCAATTCTAGGTATTCACTGTGCAGTTTTGACTTTGTCTCTCTATCCCCTTGCCAAGTAAAATTGCAAAAAGCAAAGATTTCACCAGCGGCCTCTTTTTCAACTCCCTGTGGAAGGTTTCAGTCCGTAGGAGCTGTTCATTTGTGACAAAATTGTCTTTCATTTTACTGAACATCAAGAGAGCAAGCCTGAATTTCTCCTCTCTCTCTCTCTTTTTTTTTTTTTAATAAATACACACTATGGGGAACTCAAGTTGATTTAGTTCTGCGTCTTCACCCGATTATGATCTAACTCAGCCGTTGGGGACAAAACAGTTGTAAAGTATATGGTAGTTAATGACAATGCATAAAATATTAGTACTAATAAATAAATAAAGGCATCTCCCTCCTGCTGAGTTCAGTTCCTGGGGAGTTAATAAAAAACATCCATATTGCAGACTATTAATTTCATTTTTTTCTCTCCTGAGGGGCAGGATGTGGAAGGCTGATTTGTGATCTGTTTAATAAGCAACATTCCTGACAGGAGATTTGTCTTATAAAATGATACTTGAGATCCTTTAAAAGGCGCTGTTTTGAAAGGAGAGTGGACCCCCCCCCTCAAATGACCCCCACCCCAAGATGGCCATCACAATTGTGTGATCAAAAGCCCTTTGTACGATGCAAAACATCCACGCTGGTACAAAATGATGTGTCGTAGACTTTGAGAATAACCTTAAAGAACAGGAGGAAGAGAGAGACGCAGCTAGGACAAGTTAAGAGAAAAGAAATTTGAGTCCGGTGCCAGAAATGTAATTTGAGAAAGCATCTCAAGGAACCCTCCCTAATTTCCTGGGAGATAAGAGGAGGGGGGGTGTATTCAGCCTTGCAAGATGTTGTTATTGTAACTTGATAACAAAAACAGTAATAGCGTTTTAACTTTTTGTTTCCTAGTTTGGTCTACCTTGACGTGTTGACAGGATTGTACCTCCTTCGTGTAACTGAAGCGGCCATCTTGATTTTTTTGACCCTCTTCTTTTGACCCTTAACTATTCCAATAAAAGTATTTACAAAGACCCGTTGATGGCCTTCCTAATTTTCCCTTCCATATTATTCTTGAGGAAAAGGGGAGCTTCGGTTCTCAGCTCGACCAAGCTAAATATTGAAACGTTAGGAGCCAATCAACTCAAAAGCCGTTTTTTTGAACCCATAGCATTCCAAAGGCTGATGAAAGCAAATTAATCGCAGCCCTTTTATAAGCAGAGGTACTGGAAAGTGTTTAAGAAATGTGTATTCTTCTCTATTTCACTCTTGCTGATAACCAAGCTCACAAGTTTCTTAAAAAGTTTCAATGTCAATCTTATCAACTTGATCGACGGAACTTCTGTAGGGTTTGAGACAGAAATATTTTCTCCCCTCATACCTGAGACCCTTAACCCTTTGTATCTGGAGAGGAGTGGGCTTAGGTTTGCAGTCTTTTGCAAGGCAGAATTGTTTAGCTTTATAGAATCTGTCCCAAATTCTTATACCAAATCTGATTGCTCTAAAACCATCTCACAGAGGCTTTCTTTCCAACCCCTCTCGATGATGTGTTGGGCATAGAACGAGAAATCATTTCCATCAGGTTGGCTGGGACTTATTTTATGGGAGTTGTAATCCCCACTCAACTGGGAAGACCGGATGAATAAAATTTTCTGCAAAAACCCTGACTGAAAACCAGGGGTCTAGTAATACTCTGAGGGCAGAGCGCCATCTAGTGGCACTAAGATGAATTACAGGTAACTTGGTTCAGTTAATCAAGAAGTTTGATTGCTTCTTTTCCAACGGACAAGATTTTATTTTTTTTAAAAAAAAAAAGCTTTGGGAACTTACATCAGTTGGGAACTTACACCAGAGCTAACGTCTCTCCATACATTTGAAGTTGCTCTTGAAAGCTGGTGCCTTTTTTTACAAAAGTGTCAGTCAGAAGAGAGGCAACCGGACTCCTCCATGGTTTATCCACACAACTCTCTTGCAGGCTGAAGTGCTTGTGTGAAGGGCTTCCTTCCTCTCCCAAGGAGGAAGACATCTTGGGATTTAGGTTCATGGTGTTTTCTTAGCAACTTTTTTCTTTATCCTCGAATGATATAACCAGGTATTTCTTTCTCTGTTGACTTACCTACCATCTTCCCTGCGCAGTGGTTAGAACACAGTATATTGAAGCCAAACTCTGCCCACTGCCAGCAGTTTGATCCTGACTGGCTCAAGGTGGACTCAGCCTTCCATCCTTCCAAGGTAGCTAAAAGAACCCAAATTGTTGGGAGCAAGATATTGACTCTGTAAACCGCTTAGAAAGGGCTGTAGAGCACTGCAAAAACAGTATATAAGTCTTAAGGGCTGTTGCTATTGCTATCTCAACCCTGCATGGTTTCCAAGAGACAAGAACAAGAGAAAAGGCTGAAAATTCTGCTTTGCGAGCTGAATTCACCCTCTATTTCAGAAGGTTTCTTGACAATTAAAAAGCCCTACCCTGTTGTGGTCTGCCGGCAGCCTGCGGAGACAGCAGCAGAGTCAGAAAGCGGGGAAGAACATGGGCCAGTCCTGGTCTGGAGAGAACTTGGAGGGTCCTGCGTCCGATGCAGAGATGGCGCCAGGGCCATCTGGGAGTTGTGCTGCTGACTCCGGAGTCTCCAGAATCTGACAGCAGCGAGGCAGAGGAGTAAGGGGAGCCTCCTCCCAGTGCGCATGTGCACAGAGCTGCCAGAAGGCAAGAGAAGTTAAGACAAAAGGGGCGACTCGGGAATAAGGCTTGGAAATGATTACCCCTTCCATAAGATATAAAGGAAGCGCAAAGGGACAGGAGCCTTTGCAGGAAGCAACGTTGTTTGCTCTGGTTGGTTTGAAAGCTTCATGGTGAATTTGTGCTCCGCTTGGTTTTGAAAGACTAATCGGTACATTAGTCATTGGCAGCACTTCAAGTAAGATAAAGGTGCGTTCTTATCAGACTTCTCCCAAAGAACTCTGGCAGACGACTATTTATAACAGGTTGAGACTCATTATGGGCTGGGAATGATGATAATTCACAGCTGCTGAACTAAAATAAAAGGGTTTTGGATTTAACGTGTGTTTGTTGGTGTCTCAGGAAGCCTCGGTCAGAACATACCCACTCAAGGAAAGATTTATTATTTTGTTTGAAGGAAAAGAATAACGACTAAGCTAAATACACTATTGAATACAGGCAGTCCTCAACTCATGACTCCAATGGAGCCCAAAATTTCTGTTAAGTGAGACATTTGTTAAGTGAATTTTGCTCCATTTTATGACCTTTCTTGCCTCAGTTGTTAAGTGAATCACTAGAGTTGATAAATTAGTAACCCAGCGGTTAAGTGACTCCAGCTTCCAACCGACTTCGCTTTACAACACTGCGACCGTCATAAATACGTACTCTTGCCAAGCGCCTAAATATATAATTGTTGATTGATGATATGAGTTATTATTTAATACAATTACAATGGAGACCAAGAAATGGATGCACAAAAAAAAGTGGTAAACCAACCGATACACTGTCTGTAAATTTATGAAGGAGGATGATGCTTTTATGTTTATGTTTTATGTGCTTTGTTTGTTGTTAAAATCAATAAAACTTTTTGTTCAAAAAATAAATTTTGATCCTGAGACCATGGGGGAATGTTGCCACGGTTGTGTTAAAAACGGTCACAAGTCCCTTTTCCCAGGGCCGTTGTAACTTTGAGTGAACTGATGTAAGTCGAGGACTACCTACAAAAGCCTCCCTCCCTTTTTTTACAAACCCAATTTTTTTAAAAAAAGTTTAGAGACGAGACCACGAAATTACATCTTCATATGGAGATGTGGGGGTTTTTTTTTCCTTTTCTTTTAATGCAGCTTAATCTCACAGTTGGCAGCATAATATGAGCATAAAGACACAACTGGGAAGGGATTCTGGAGGCAGCATGCAAACACTGTTTGAAGCAAGAACTAAAAGAAACAAAAACAGAACAAAAACCCCATCCAAACCCCTTTCCTGGGTGGCTCTGCGGTGGTTTTTTTTTTGTGTGTGAGAAGAAACACCGCCTTGGTTTGGTCAAGACCTGATTCAGGTAAGGCAGGGTTTCCCTGGGCACGCAGGTGTTTCTTCTTCTTTTTTTAAAAAAAACACAAAACCAAATCCCATTTTATTCATGACATTAAAAAAATAAGATCTGTAACTTGAGTAAAAAAAAAAAAAACCCAGCCAAACAGCGGATTTCTGGTGCAGTTCGAAACCTATTAATCAACCTCACGATTAAACCTTAATAGTTTTTTTTCTCCTTAAAAAAACAAAACTGAGTATTATTATTTTTTTTAAAAAGGAACAAAAACCAATTCTCTCTTTAAAAAAAAAAAAAAAGGCCTATTCAGAAAGAAGAGGATACTAGACTGTGAATTCCAGCGCTCGGGAGTCTTTTTGGAGAAAGTTAAAGAAAGTCTCTTTCTTCCCCCCGCCAAGAAAATCGGCACCTTTTAATAGCTGTCCTACCATTTTCCCCCCCATTCTTTTTTTTTTTTTTTTTTGGCATGGTCCGCCCTTCTTAAATTTCCCTACGAAACAAGAACCTGTACATGTTTGGTTCCAGAAGGAGGCTGAAAAAAGGTAGGTGGGAAGAAGGAGGTGGGGATGAATGAAAGGAGGGGAGTCCACGAAGAAGAAAAGAGGGACTCAACAACGCTGGAAAAGAACATGCAACTTAAAATATGAATACGATGGACCCTGGCGACGAGACAGATTTTCGTTTGTTTGTTTTTAAAGGGCAGGAAGGAGAAGTGAACACCTCTGGGTTGGTTCCCACGTGTCCATCTTCAGGTGGGTCCAGCTGAGAGAGGCTCCCTTGGGCGAGGATGGGGGGGGGGATAGGCTCCCCACCTACCCATCGGGCCCCCGGGGAGCGGTCCAAGGTCCTTAGGTTTCTCTTTAAAGACAGTGTAGAAATTTGGATTCCTGGAAAACAAAAACCCAACCACCCGGCTCGCCGGGGGGGGGCGGAAGGGGGGAAAGGGGGGGTTTCTTCGCCTGGCCTCGCCCCTGAGGTCTGTGCCCAGGGGAGAGGGCGGGGGAGGGCGTGTCCGAAAGAAGCCCTGCCCTTCCGGTCGGCTTCACAGGTAGAGCTCGCTGGCTTTGATATGCTCTAGCTGTTCCCGTAATTGGTGGAAGGACGGCCGGTGGGCGGCATCCAAAGTCCAGCATTTTTTCATCACCTCGTAGACAATCTGGGGGCAGCCATCCGGAGATTCCATCTTGTACCCCTTTTCCACACGAGGGACCACGTCCTTCAGAGGCTGCAGGGTGGGGAGGGCGGGGGGAGAAAAGAGCGGGGGAGGAAGTAACGCATTTAAGCCCAGCTCTGATTAAAAGGAAAAAAAAAACAACAACCAGAAATAGCGTTGACTTCGACTAGGAAACCACTTCTGAGCTTTGTGCTTGAGGTGGATAAAGGTGAAACTTTTGACTCTTGGGTTTTTACCGATTAGATAAGATTTGTTCTTACAGAAATGGCTAGTTTCTACCAACCTGCTTCCCACGGAGGACCTGTAGACTGCATATGAGCCCAAAAGAGGGCTGTGAAAATATCTACAGACCATGGAAATAAACTGTTTCAACTCCTTCCCTCAAAACGACGCTACAGAGCACTGCACACCAGAACAACTAGACACAAGGACAATTTCCCCCCCCAATGCCATCACTCTGCTAAACAAATAATTTCCTCAACACTGTCCAACTATTTACAAAGTCTGCACTACTATTACTGTTAATCTTCTCATCACTCCTTATCGCCCCTCCCACTTATGACTGTATGACTGTAACCTTGTTGCTTGTATCCTAACAATTTATATGGACTGTTTCCTAGTATGATTTGATTGCTTATTGTACCCTGTGACTATCATTAAGTGTTGTACCTGATGACTCTTGACGAATGTATCTTTTATGTACACTTAGAGCATTTGCATTGAAACAAATTCCTTGTGTGTCCAATCCCACTTGGTCAATAAAGAATTCTTTCTTTCTTTCTTTCTCTTTCTGTCTGTCTGTCTATCTATCTATCTATCTATCTATCTATCTATCTATCTATCATCTATCTATCTATCATCTATCTATCATCTATTTTTCTATTACTATGAAACAGGAAAAAGTTGTGGGTAGATCTTAATTCCTTATTCAACTGCACCAAAGGAGTCAGAAGTCAATACCTTTCCCCCACTATTCACTTCCCTTTTTCCTTCCCTAATTTCCCTAATTTCCCCTTGATGTGAGCTTAAATGGACTCCGGGGGATGGTGGAGGACAGGAAGGCCTGGAGGAACATTGTCCATGGGGTCACAATGGGTCGGACATGACTTAATGACTAACAACGTCAACAATTTCCCTAATATTTGCTTTTGTATTCTCTTTGTATGTTATATTATAAACTACTTTGATAGATAGATAGATAGATAGATAGATAGATAGATAGATAGATAGAT